AAAACGCAAATCCGCCACTCATCTCCCTCTTCCAGCTCGAGTTTGCAGCCACCATTTCAAGCTCGAGCCCCGCCGTCGACCTCGAGTTTCGTTTTCTGGCGAGCCTCTGCAACCAAGCTCTTGTCGTCGTCACTTGCAGCAGCCCCGTCTGCTGGTCGCACCACCTCAGTACACGCGCCACCGAGCCGCCTCATCTGATCGCAAGTCCTGTCGAGCTGTCGCCATCCATCTCTCTCAGTCGTAGCTTGAACACCGACGAGCCAAAGAAGTCCAGCAGCACAGCTCGTCGCTTTCAGCGAGCCTCTCAACCACTTTCCGGCGAGTTCATTTCACGTTGTTCCCAGCCGCCCTTCACGCCGGCGACGACGCCACACATCAGGCGAGCCCAGGTTCGCGACTGTACATCAACCAGTGACCCTCGTGCGAGTCCATCTCGAGTCCTGTTTGGCAGCTTCCGTACACGCGCCTGGGGACCCGCGACCAGCACTCTCGAGCGCGTCTCGAGCCTCGATCTAGGCAAACTGAGTCAGCCCAACCTCTGACTCAAGTCCAACAGACCATATTCGTACGGTGCAGCTCAGATCCGAGCTTGATTAGTTAGCCCGACCCGGTTCCGAGAGCAACCAAGGACTCATTATCTCTATTTATCTTCCGATTTTCGTTTTGAATCCCTCGGGAGGTATAATAGCTGAAACTCCATCTTCGTGGCCTTAGACAACAATTTAAATTAATTATAAAAATAAGTTTTGGGAAATTTCGAGCTTGATATGATTTATTACGATTTTATCGAGTAAAATGGCTATAAATTCATTAAATATTGGTGGTTGACCCAAAAATTACGAAACCAACTCGATAAATCATAATTCAATGTATTGAGGCTTAGGTTCAAATTTGAGAAATTTTAGAGTTCGTTTGATAGGCGAACGAGATTTTTGAATAATTTGAGCGGTTGAAGCGGTTACTAGTTAAATGTGTTAGGAGTTGAATTGAGTTGCGATATTTTGACCATATATCATGTATATGTTGAGGATGGTGTGTTTCGAATTTCGTAATTTTCGGACACCGTTTGATATAGAATAAATATCGAGACGTTAGCCTCATTTTGTGATATTTTAGAATATTAGTCCGGTTGATATTTTAGCTGCAGTTGTTGATTATAAAATTGGTAAAAATCACATATAAATTATGAATTAAGAATCTACTTTAAATGAGTTATGATTTTCGAGAATAAAAAACCCTAGTCTTATCCAGTTCTGATAACAGGATATTATTTTGGATCCGAGTTTAATGGATCGAACCCTAGTGATGTTTAAACAATTTTAGACATCGTAGCACTAATTCGTAAAGCGTATCGTTGTCCCGCACACGTGCTCGAATCTCATCCGATCGTTGGAGTCAAACCACCGAGTGCGTGCCCGTGCACCGAGTCCGAGTCAAACCACCGAGTGCGTGCCCGTGCACCGAGTCCATCCGACCTACAGTTTATGCGCCATTTCCGTTAGCCGTGGTCCAAGCACGCCCCTGCGTCAGTGACCGTGGCACCGCTCCAAACCGTGCATCGGTTAAGCCGTGTCAGTCGAGTTCGTGCCGGCCCCGAGTTGCCATGCCGAACCCAAACCACGGTCAAACCAAGCTGCACATAGTCAAGCCAATGATCGACCGACTCCGAGTGAGTCATCGGTCCAGTTCAGTCAAACCAGTCCGGGTAGTCCGGAGAGAACTGCAGTACAGTCGGATCAGTCCGGGTAGCCGGACGATTCGAGAAATTTCAGATAGATATATTTCAGACAAATTTAAGATTTCAGATATAAAGTTAAGATTTAAGATATATTTAAGATCCAGACATATTTCGAATTTAATCAGATTTAAGATTGTAGTCATGTTATGTTAAGTCAGATTATAGTCTCAGACTTAGAAATATTTCAGAGAACTCTAGTATGCCTCAAAGACAATAATATTTTCAAAATCAGCTCGTTAATCCCTAAATGATTTTTAAAGCCAGGTGAGCGAACCTAGACAGCTCAGATAATAAAATTTGAGTTTTCAGTTTAAGATAAGTACTTAAATATATTTTGTGCTTATATATTTTGTAGTTGTGGAGAGTCGAGCCACCGACAGTTGCAAACCATTCAGTACTTGTATTTCAGCATATCAGGTGGGGACCCTGTACTGGGTATTACATCTTTTATAATCGCAATACCATGGTTGAGGTATGTATGTAAGATTCTGCCCGAATAGGGGCAATTACCTAGCGAGTAGATCTTTTCTATCTAGGTGAATCGAACGCTAGTTAAGATGAGATAAGAATGCTAGTGCAGCTTTGAGTTAAGTGAATTCAGAACCCTAGAGCAGCCTTGAGTTAAGTTTAATTTCAGATGACCTTAGAATAATTCTTCCCTATGGAATATTGTTCTAGAGATAGATTTTGTCATAACCAAGTGTTTCTAATCTCTAGTTATTATCAAGAACTCTAGTGCAATTGTGAGTTAAGCTCCAACTTTAGAAGAGCATAAGAGTTAGTTCTGCCCTAGTATGGGCAACGACCTACAGATTAGGTCCTACAGTTGCTTATCGTGAGCGTGAAGACCTAGTGTCCTTCTCGCCTGTTAAGCAGTCAGTTGAGCAGAAATTATATAAGGTAAGTTGAGCAGCTATTAGAGATGGTCAGTTGAGCAGCAGTTATAGACAATATACTTATTTATACGCATTTGTGATGTGTTCTATCATATTAGATGTATGCTTAGGTTGCGATGTGATTTATCATTTTAGATGTATACTGAGGTTGGGATGTGCTTATCATATCATATGTATGTTTAGTTCGTGATGTTGCAGTTATAGTTAGTCAGTTGAGCAGCAATTATAGTTAGCCAGTCGAGCACCCATTATAATAAACAGTTGAGCATCAGTTCCAGTGGAGCAGAAACTATAGACAGTCAGCTGAGCATCGGTAATAGGCAGTCAGTTAAGTAGCAGCTATAGATAGTGTGCTGAGTTATGTATTTATTGGATGAATGTTTAATTAGTTAGTAAAATGTTCTTCATCATATCGTTTCCGCCGATTCAGTAAGTACTTGCTTATATGTCGATGTCATGATATGTTATTATATTAGCTGTATATTTCAGTGTCGGTTCCGGCGGAGCATGTGGATTATTTATGCTCACGCCCCCCACTAACCATTTTTCAGGTGATGGTGTCGAGCGTAGAGCGTGAGCCGATGATGTGGTGGTGGTCATAGCAAGGATATTTTCAGTAAACATGTCATGTATATCATAAATTGTTAGAGTTATTATGTTTTGTTCATGCATGCTTGCATTTGCTTCCGCACTTGGTATTTCAGTATTACAGTATTTCAGTATCTAGAATTTCAGTCTATGCATGCTTAAATTCTTAGATGTTTGGAGTAATGAATTATACTCGGTTGCATGCCTACAAGTTTAAAGATATTAAAGATTTAAGATTTAAGATTCAAGTTGAGTAGCAACCCACATATTAAAGTTAAAGTATTTTCGAAAGGTTAATATGAGTTTTCGAAAATTATAACAGAGTTTTCCTTTTATAGCGCGAAAAATTTACTCTGATTTTAGTAAGTCTAGGCGGGGTGTTACACAGTTACTCGTCCGGACTTGTCTTATGCGGTTCGTACTCTGTCTCAGTTCATGCAGCAACCTCGTCAGGCACATTGGGATGCTGCTCTTCGGGTGGTTCGTTATTTGAAGGGTACTCCGGGTCAAGGTATTCTTCTTCATCCGATTGTGACTTGCAAATTTATGGTTGGTGTGACTCTGATTGGGCGTCCCATTACACGCCGGTCTCTCTCGGGTTCGTTTGTACAACTGGTCATTCACCTCTTTTTTGGCGCACCAAGAAACAACACACTGCGGCCCGGTCTTCTGCTGAGGCCGAGTATCGAGCCATGGCGACCCTTACTTGAGAGTTGAAGTGGTTGAAGGTTTTACTTCACAGCCTTGGCGTCGCTTATTCTCAGCCCATACGGATTCATTGTGACAGTCAAGCAGCTCTGCACATTGCTGCTAATCATGTATTTCATGAGCGCACGAAGCATATTGAAGTCGATTGTCATTTTCTTCGTGATGCTCTTGTTCAAGGCCTCATTTCTGCAGATCATGTTTCTACTCATTCACGATTGGCGGATATCTTCACTGAGGGCTTGGGAAAACGCGAGTTTGATTTTTTTTTTCAGCAAGTTGGACAATCAGAATCTGCATACTCCAACTTGAGGGGGGGAGGGGGTGTTAATGTAATTTTGTGAATACTGCATTTTTAGTAGAGATAAGATTTGGTATCTTAGAAATTTGGTGTAGATTTTTCAGGCTTTCCCTTCTATCTATTTATTGAGCCTTAGTAAAACTCTAAATCTAAGTTGGAAATGAATCAATTTCACGCCTTTGATAGTTGTCCTACAATAGTTTCTTCTTCAGAACTTTATAAGTACACAGGTGATCCCACTATAGATGCAACATTATACAAAAGAAATGTGGGAGCTTTGCAATATTTGACCATCACAATGCCAGAGATATTCTTTACAGTCAGTTCACTTAGACACTCATTGGACAAGTGTGAAGAAAATACTCAAGATACTTGAGCCACACTTCAACATATGGATAGAACATGACAAAAGGTAAGAACATGAAGGTAGACTTTTCAAATGTCAACCTGAATTCAGGCAATTGTTAGAACATCAATCCAATCACAGGGGCATTCATTCTTTAAGAAAATTTAGGTCCTGAAAACTTCATCAAACACTGACAAATTACAAAGTCAAGCGACACTCAACCGACAACTCTTCCCGTCACATGACAACATTACACATGAGTTGTGACAGAGGTCTCTCCTACTGACCCAAGAAGATGAAAAGAAAAAAATTAACCTATGAAATGATTACTAATCAATCTCATATCAAAACAGTCAAAACTCCACACAGTCTCCAGTTATTACGAACAGCACAAGATTTGAATATAAAACACGTGGTTAGAGAAGCTCAGACCCTGCTATTGGCAGGCAGTGGCAAGACACCATCAAAGAAATCCCCAAAATAACCTCTCGGCTCGTGAACGAGCTTTGATATTATGTCCCTGAGGGTGATAACTCCTTCCAGATTCCCGGCCTCGTCAACCACGTATATGCGGTGGATCTTCATGGAGTCGAGCTTGATAATCACTTGTTTCAGGGTATCGTCCTTCATGCACGTCACCAATGGGGACTCATTCTGTTGCTCCTCCAGATGCCTTCTCACTGCCGCCAGGAAGTTCTTGGCAGTGATTGATCTGTATACAACACATGCCAAACTCAACTCAATTTCATCATCAATATTGTTATTTGATTTTCAGATGTTGTATAATTCACATATCTAACAATCTATGGTTCCAATTTTTTAACCCGTCACGCTTTTTGAACGAAGCGTGTACTTCTTGGCGAAACGTAGGACTATTTTTTAAAGAGGTTTGCTCTTACGTTGACTCGTAAAAGTGTAGGCAATTTAATGTGAAAGTATGTACTTTTGTTCAAAAAAATATGTTCGCCTAGTGAAATAGGTTGACAATAAGACCTTCTCATAGCCCAAATCCATTCAGACGCAGTTCCATCTCAAAGCAGACTGTTATTTATGCAAATCCATCTCGTTTTAGAAACTTCATTGACAGAAAATTGTACACAAAATAAGACAGAAGAATCAGGGATCCATGTTATCAATCTCTTGCATGGACACAAATGCATTAACAGGTTCGGTTGAGCTCCTGCAGTTGTCTATTATAAGCTAAACCAGCTTTTACCCTTGGCTCTTATATTCTTCAAAATATCGATTTTCAATTGAATAAAGAACATGAAAAACGTATCGTTCTGACCAAATGTGCCAGAGAAAAATCAAGCTACAGACCTGTACTCCTTGTAGATCTCAGGTGCCATGAGAAGGAATTGAATATCTCGGATGCTTATGTTGCCGATTGCCTTATTTCCACCGTTTGCAACCACAGGCACACCTCCAACTCCGTTTTGCCGCATTAGTTTGAATGCCTGAAGCACGGGCTCATCCTCATTCACCTGAAAGAAAAATAAATAAATAAATCAACAACAGCAATCACGCGTAGCACTATTGTGTATTTTTCTTCAAACTGGAGACAATACAGATAATATGGGTTCCACAAGTTGGGCTGATTAGATAGAAACAAGAGAAAGTTGAGATTTACGAACCTGAAAGCCACAAAAGTGAAATGATATAATGATTACAATAAGCATGATGACTGATTCAGGTTACTTAATGGAGGTACATGCACGTAATAAATGTAAATTCACCTTTATTATGTGGCGAGATTTCATGAGAGGAAGTCCCAGTTCAAAGAGCCTTTTGGAACCCCAGCTCTCGAACCAGTGAAGACCCGCACATTCTTCGAGCATGTGAATAACGGCACTTTGAGTGATGATATTGTCAATCTTTGCTTCCCCCAAATCAACAACAGGGACACTCTTCATACGGTATTTAGACAGCAATAGGAGCATAGTCAGAAACGAGTTGGCCTTCTGCAAAGCCAGAAATGGGGCCCAGCGAAAAGTTCCTGCTATATCCCCCACCTGTTTATTTGATCATAAAACACCAATCTTGATTAGAGAAAAAAAAAAAAAAAAAGGCCTTGTAATGAATATGCCGACCGAAAAACCTTGGTATTCTTGTAGAAATCAGATGAAGTAAGAGTCTCAAAGAAGTGGCCACAGGTGGCAGTGGGGGAGTCCGGGTGGCGACTTTTGAACCTGGGCGAACACATTCCACTGGCTGCTGCAGCAGCAACAGCAGGGCCCACATCAACCCCCGAGTCCCCGTTCATGGATGAATCAAACAGGGACTCAGCTTCCATCTTTTCAGACTGAAATTTATTCACAAAAGAAAACAATAAATCGAACAAGAAACAGTTTACAGGGAGTGATATGGTAGTAAAATGCAATCAAGTACCAAAACGTGAACAAACCTGATGCAAAATCCACACAACAATGCCCGCAAACTCAACGACACCAATGTATCGGTCGATCCAGCTGGCGTCGTCAGGTGCATTTACATCCACAACAGGGGCACTAAGGACTTTGTGCCTCGCCAGTAACTTGACAGCCTCGGCCAGGCTCGTGTCTGATCTTATCTCAATAACTGCAGAGGGATTATGTCCAAACAACATCAAACAAGTCAATAAAGAAGAATTGGTACTTACTTTATACAATATGAGAGACATGTTGTGATGTTATCATCGGAAAAAATCGAAGGAAAATTAACCGAAACCAATTATTGTCTTATTACAGTATTCCAGAGCAAAACCCTCATCTCTTTTTCTTAATCGTCGAAACACACCACACACAGTCACTCACACGCAAAAAGAAAAACATACAACAAACCAAACATGATCTAACTTGCCATCAAGGACAGCTAAAACAAATACAAAGAAACAATGATCTGTTTGAAGAGAAAATGACCATAAAGTAAGTTTATTTTATTGAATTAAAAGCAGAAATTATAAGAAGAAAAGGACGACCTTGTGAAGAAGGTGCAGGAGGGAAAGCAGAAACAGGGATGCTCTCAAAGCAAGCGTTGAGCTTCTCAGTAGGGCTGAGCTGAGGCTCTTGCACATCCCACAAATCCTCTACTTGCATCCCCAGCTTTGCTTCTGGGCTTCTCGGCGTTTCGCCTTCTTCCGCCACCATCTCTCTCTCTTCTCTCTCTCTCTCACCCTAATAACTAACGAGAAAACAAAGAAAGAAACTTTCGATTCCTTTTTTTCTTGTTTTTGTCTTGATTTGTTTCCCGATGGTTGCCTTGCCTGCTAAGATGCAATCACACTATGAACAAACCAATCATGCCATTTATTCTATTGTATGTAATACAGCAATATTATTATATATAAGAACAGTGGCAAAAAGTGTGTACGTTTTCTTGATCGGCTGCTCCACGGTGCATGCTATCCTCAGTGGTCCGCTTGATCTTTGGAGTTGCGAGTTATTGATCTGTCTGACACGTGGCGAGATGGGCATCTATGGCTGACCCAGTCAGTATCGGAGGCGATGAGTACGCTTCGGGTCCTTCTTTCGTTCTTATCCATTAGAGCTCTCTCTACTTTGAAGCTCGCACTTATCCGATTTTCCATTTCGGCCTCTAACAACTAAGACCAAACAATTATTATAAAATTGCAAGGGCCTTTTTTTCTTTGTTCTTTCCCCAACCCACAGAGAATTTATA